CATATAACATGGGCATGTCCAACAGGTCGATCACGATCTTCGGTCAATTGCCTTGCATCCATGGACTTAAGTCTCCCCTAAGAAAAGCTCAACAACTTTTGCTCCCCCAAAAAATGCTCACAAGTTTGCCTGGCGATGACAATGGGTAGATCGCAGACAGCATTTCAATACAGTGAGCAGATCGCAGTCTCTTGGGAGTTGATCCCCACCTGTAGCAGTCCAGTCTAAAGAGAAGACTCCCTGGAAAAGACTCTGATGTTGGGAAAGATGGAGGGCACAAGGAGAAGGGACGACAGAGGACGAGATGGTGGGACAGTGTTCTCAAAGCTACCAGCATGAGTTTGACCAAACTGCGGGAGGCAGTGGAAGACAGGAGTACCCGGTGCTCTGGTCCAGGGGTCACGAAGAGTCGGACATGACACGACTACAACAACAACAAACATTATTACCTGTCTGGTGTGGGTAGGGGAGGGCCATCCTGGGATAAGTTAAAATTTTGTTTGTTGTTTAGTCGTGTCCGACTCTTCGTGACCCCCTGGACCAGAGCATGCCGGGTACTCCTGTCTTCCACTGCCTCCCGCAGTTTGGTCAAACTCATGCTGGTAGCTTTGAGAACACTGTCCCACCATCTCGTCCTCTGTCGTCCCCTTCTCCTTGTGCCCTCCATCTTTCCCAACATCAGAGTCTTTTCCAGGGAGTCTTCTCTTTAGACTGGACTGCTACAGGTGGGGGATCAACTCCCAAGAGACTGCGATCTGCTCACTGTATTGAAATGCTGTCTGCGATCTACCCATTGTCATCGCCAGGCAAACTTGTGAGCATTTTTTGGGGGGGAGCAAAAGTTGTTGAGCTTTTCTTAGGGGAGACTTAAGTCCATGGATGCAAGGCAATTGACCGGAAGATCGTGATCGACCTGTTGGACATGCCCATGTTATATGACCCCCCCCCATTTTCTATGAAATAATGTATTCATGCCTGTATATATATATTTCACTGTAAGTTGCTTGTCGACCCTTTAGGTGACAAGTGGCTTATAACAGTGTGCAATCTCACTGTATACAAGTTGTACAAGTGACAATACAGTGGTACCTCGGGTTAAGTACTTAATTTGTTCCAGAGGTCCGTACTTAACCTGAAACTGTTATTAACCTGAAGCACCACTTTAGCTAATGGGGCCTCCTGCTGCCGCCGCGCTGCCGCTGCACGATTTCTGTTCTCATCCTGAAGCAAAGTTCTTACGCTGAGATACTATTTCTGGGTTAGCGGAGTCTGTAACCTGAAGCGTATGTAACCTGAAGCGTATGTAACCCAAGGTACCACTGTATAGTATTTCAATAACTTAATTATTATTCTTATTTTGCAGCCGGAGTTTGAAACCAAGTGCAACAATGCAAAGCCCAAGAAGCTACATTGCCACCCAAGGCTGCTTGCAGAACACCGTCAACGACTTCTGGAGGATGGTGTTCCAGGAGAACTCGCGCGTGATCGTTATGACGACGAAAGAAGTCGAGCGGGAAAGGTAAGGCGCCCACGCCTCTCAGGGGATCTTGCAATGCTGATCAGCCTCTGAGCATATCAAAACAAAATTTAAAAAATCCTTCCAGTAGCACCTTAGAGACCAAGTTTATTATTGGTATGAGCTTTCGTCTCAGGGTGGATTTGATTTACTTCCATCAGCCTCCACATCACATGGCCTCTCTGTCTGGGGCTGGTGGGACTTGTAGCCCAAAACATATGGAGAACCTTCAGTTGACTGACATTGACGAAACCAGCAGCCCACCACCCTGTCTTGTTTCCAGAGCAAGTGCGTAAAATACTGGCCAGATGAACACGCCCTAAAGGAATACGGTGTGATGCGCGTCCGAAATGTCAAAGAGAGTGCGGCTCATGATTACACGTTACGGGAACTCAAGCTTTCAAAGGTTGGGCAGGTAAGTCTGTGAAGTTATTTCTTTAGTTCTGGCCATCCTCTGGCTCATATTCGTCAAATGTGGTAGCAGCCAGACCTAAAGAAGAGCCCGCTTCTGTCCCGTATATGTTTATTTGTTTACATACAGCTATTCATTAAAAAAATATATCGGAGCAGTTTGTACCAATAGTACAAAAACCGAAACCATATAAAAATGATAAAATCAGAAGTCAGCTAACGGTTGGAAATCCTTAACTGCCTGCAAAGACCTGACAGAATAGAAAAGTTTTAGCAGTTGTTTAAAAAGTTGAACCAGGAAGTGCTTGCTGAATCTCCATTGGCAGGGAGTTCCACAGAACTGGGCCAATGGCATAAAAGAAGCCTCTCCAACTTGGGGAACGATCAACAGTGCTCCTGAAGATGATATCAGTGATTGAACTGGGATATAAGGCAGTCCCTGAGATACCCTGGAGCTAAGTTGTTCAGGGCTTTGTAAATTACCGTATTTTTCCAGCTATAAGACGCCTCCATGTATAAGACGCCCCTATTTTGGGGGACTCAGATTTAAGAAAATCCACCCTCAGCACTACCCATGTATAAGACGCCCCCTAATTTTGGACACTCTTTTTTAGGGGAAAAACCTAGTCTTATACATGGAAAAATATGGTAATACAAAGACCTTGAACCTGGCTCAGCAGTAGATGGGCAGCCAGCCCAGATGCTTTAGCAAGGGCGTCACATCAGCAGTCTGGCCGCTGCATCCTGCACCAGCTGGAGCTTCCAAACCAGACTGCAAGGGCAGCCCCACACAGACCACATTGCAGTAATCTATCCTTGAGGTTACCAGTGCATGGACTGCAATGCTCAGGCTATCCTATGGATACCCATATTGTCCCTCCCTTTCTGCCTGCTCATTCGTCTCCCCCTACTGTTGAAAACTGTGAGATGCTCCAAGCAGTGAATTCTCTCTCTCTCTCTCTCTCTCTCTCTTTGCTTCTGCTCCTCTGAAGGCCCCACAGGTGCACGAATGCTATAGGATGATAATATGGCCTTCCTCATTCAGGTGCGCTCCACATATTGTTGGACTCATATCCTCTCCAGTCAGCATGGCCAATGGCTAGGGATGATGGAGCCTAAAAATATTGGCAGGGCACCAGATTGGGAAAAGCTGCAACTGCACAGATGTGGCTATAGGAATAACAATAATTTGAGGCTTCATTTAGCAAGGGAGCATGGGCTTTCATGCCCCAAACTTTCTCTTTTTATATAAAAAGAAGAAAGCAAAAGAAAGGGAAAATGTGAATCTGTGTGTGTTAGGTAGACACTGCCATAAGAACATATGGAGAACCAGTGGACCTCCAGTCCAACCAGGGATAGCTCCCCCCCATGAAGTGGGGTGAAGCAGCTGCTATAGGCAGATGAAACTCCCGGGGGGGGGCCCACGGGTGTCCCCACCAGCCCTGCTGACTCCACGTGAACATGCCCACGACAAGCAGAGAAGCCAGCGCCGATTTCTGGCGAGAGATCTTGCGAGATTTCGATGAGATTCCTCCCCTGATATTTGTGCTGGTGCCACAGCGGTGGAGACGGGCAGCTCGGAGGCAGTGTTGGCAGAAAAGGGGGTGACCCGTTGGAGGATGGGGTGACATGCCAGCATGGGGCGGAACTTCCTGTTTCGCCTCGTGCATCAAAATGGAATGTGCCGCTCCTGAGTCCGGCATCCTGTTCTCAAAGCGGCTAGTTACATGCTTGTAGGAAACCAGGACTCCAGCACAAGAGTCCTCTTCCCTGCTGTGGCTTCCAGCAACTGGCATTCAGAATAATAATAATAATAATAATAATAATAATAATAATAATAATAATTTATTATTTGTACCCCGCCCATCTAGCTGGGTTTCCCCAGCCACTCTGGGCAGCTTCCAACAAGGATAAAAATACAGCAAAATGTCACACATTAAAAACTTCCCTGAATTGGGCTGCCTTCAGATGACTTCTAAACGTCAGGTAGTTGTTTGTTTCTTTGACATCTGATGGGAGGGCGTTCCATAGGGTGGGTGCCACTACCGAGAAGGCCCTCTGCCTGGTTCCCTGTAGCTTTGCTTCTCGCAATGAGGGAACCGCCAGAAGGCCCTCGGAACTGGACCTCAGCGTCCGGGCAGAACGATGGGGGTGGAGATGCTCCTTCAGCAAACATGGAGGCTGAGCATAGCCATCGGGGCTAGTCGCCATTGAGAGCCCTCTTCTCCATGAATTGGTCCAGTTTTCTTTTAAAGCCCCCCCAAGTTTCGGCCATTGCTGCTTCTTGTGGGAGTGAGTTCTGTAGTTCATGCAGTGTGTGAGGAAGGACCTTTTTTCATCTGTCTTGAATGTCTCCTCTGAAAGCAGGCCTTGGTTTGCCAGGAATAATGTTGGGGGGGGCAGTCTGATCTCCTGAGGGAGGGGCTTCTTCTGTAACTGGAGTGCTGCTGTTGAGATGACTCCTTCTCATCTCCAGTGGCGCACCCTCCCCCACCCCCAAAGTGCTCCTTAAAAGGCAGGGAAAGATATTTGGGTGCCATCTCTCCAGGGCAACACCGAACGAACAGTCTGGCAGTATCACTTCAGAACCTGGCCTGACCATGGAGTCCCCAGTGATCCTGGAGGAGTTCTAGATTTCTTAGAAGAGGTTCATCACAAGCAAGAAAACATCTCGGATGCTGGCCCAGTTGTGGTCCATTGCAGGTACTGTGATGCTTGGGCTCTGTCAGGGGTAGGCAGCCTAAGGCCTGTGGGCCGGATCTGGCCCAATCGCCTTCTCAATCTGGCCCGTCGAGGGTTCGGGAATCAGTGTGTTTTTAGATGAGTAGAATGTGTCCTTTTATTTAAAATGCATCTCTGGGTTATTTGTGGGGCATAGGAATTCATTCATTCCCCCCCTCAAAATATAGTCTGAGAGACTATAAAAATGGTCTGAGAGACGGTGGACCGGCCCATTGGTTGCTGACCCCTGGGCTATGCCTTTGATCTTAAGCACAACATTTTTCAAAGCCAAAAGAAGCAGAAATATAAGTTGCGTGTCTGTGTTTTCCCCCTCTTTCCCCCTCCTTCCTAGTGCTGGAATCGGCCGGACCGGAACATTCATTGTGATAGATATTCTCATTGACATAATCAGAGAGAAAGGTGAGTCCCTCTGCTGTTGTGTCAGCCTTCGCCTGCCTGGTGGGTTACAATTTCCATCAGTCCCAGCCAACACAGCTGTATGATGCTGAGGCAGATGGGAGCATGGGCTTTCTGGCGGCAAGGGCTGATGGGCCATGAAGGCAGAGCACAGCCATCATGGCTGGTAGCCACCAATAGCCCTTCTCCTCCATGAATTTTCTCCTATCCTCTTTTAAAGCCATTCAGGTTGGGGGCCATCACTGCCTCCTGTGGGACTGAGTTCCAGAGATTAACTCTGCCCTGCATAAGAAAGGACTTCCTTTTATCTGCCCTGAATCCTCCATTGTCCAGATTCTTCGCAGTTCCACTTACCGTATTTTCCGCTCTATAAGACGCACCTTTCCCCTCCGAAAAAGTACAGTGGTACCTTGGGTTAAGTACTTAAGTCGTTCCGGAGGTCCGTTCTTAACCTGAAACTGTTCTTAGCCTGAAGCACCACTTTAGCTAATGGGTCCTCCTGCTGCTGCCGCGCCGCCAGAGCACGATTTCTGTTCTCATCCTGAAGCAAAGTTCTTAACCTGAGGTACTATTTCTGGGTTAGCAGAGTCTGTAACCTGAAGCGTATGTAACCCGAGGTACCACTGTAAGGGGAAATGTGTGTGCGTCTTACGGAGCGAATGCAGCCTGCGCAGCTTTCGCTGAAGCCAGAAGAGTAAAAAGGGATTGGTGTGCACCGATCCCTCTTGCTCTCCTGGCTTCAGGGATCGCCGCCCGAAGCCTCCTGAGCTGTGCATTGCGTTCGCTGAAGCCAGGAGAGCAAGAGAGATCGATCCCTCTTGCTCTCCTGGCTTCGCTTCGCTGGAGAGGCGCTGCGCAGCTTTCCCTCTCTGCGCAGCGCCCCTTCAGCGAAGCGGGAGGAGAAATGGAAGGGGCTCCGTTTCTCCTGCCGCTTCGCTGAAGGGGCGCTGCGCAGAGAGGGAGAGAAATTTTTCCTCCCTGTTCTCCTCCAAAAATAGGTGCGTCTTATGGAGTGCAAAATACGGTGCTGTAACTGCTTCGAATGGAGCCCACAAACAAATGAAATTAGAACGAAATGGAGCCTCCAGGCCCAGGAGCAGTCTCTTCTTCAGCCCCAAGTCCTGGAGGCACTTTCTAGAGGCCTCTTCTGGTGCGTCAGCATGGAGAAGAGGATGTAGGGCTTGGTGGGTTCTAGGTCTGACCCAGCAAGGCCATCCTTACTTCCTCGCTCCCATGTTGCCCAGCCTAGATTGCTGCTCTTCAGGAACTTTGGACGTCAGTGGAGAAGTGGAAGTTATTTCGCTGCCGGCATAAGCTGCTGCTGGCTTGGGAGCTTAGGTGTGACTTCAGCCGGAATGAGTGGGGCTGGAAGGGTTTTCTCTCGGGTCCTGCCTGGGCATCCCTGTCCTACTGATCCTTTTTACTCCCTGCCCTCCAGGCGTCGACTGTGACATTGACGTCCCGAAAACCATCCAAATGGTGCGGTCCCAGCGGTCAGGGATGGTGCAGACGGAGGCCCAGTACCGGTTCATTTACATGGCGGTGCAGCACTACATCGAAACGCTACAGCGTCGGATCGAGGAGGAGCAGGTAACGCCTCGAGTCGGGCTTTAAAGTAGGGCCGCTTTGGCTAAGGGCCCAGCGGGCGGGAAGTTCCAGTCTTGCCTTTTAGAAATAGGATTGTCTTTCAGATTTTCCTTCGAATTCTGGTTTTAGCATCTGTGTTTGTTGGTTTACGTATTGTGAGTGTATTTTAGTTACCTTGGTTAAAAAAAAAAAGGAACTGGTAAATTTAATTAATAATAAAACTAATAGGATAAATAAGTGATCTCCCTTGCCTCCATGTGCTCTCTGTCTCTCTCCCTTTCAGAAGAGTAAGAGAAAAGGCCACGAGTACACAAACATTAAATATTCTTTAGCAGACCAGGCCAGTGGAGACCAGAGTCCACTTCCACCCTGTACTCCAACTCCGACCTGCCCTGAGTAAGTAGATGATCTCCTTCCCTCTCCAAGATCACATGCAAGGGCAAAGTTCGACATCACAGCCCCCAGATACAATGGCAAGCGACACAACTGTGACAGTGATACAGTCATACCTCAGAAGTCAAACGCCTTACGACTCAAACGTTTTGGGTCCCGAATGCTGCAAACCCGGAAGTGACTGTTCCGTTTTGCGAACTGTCTTGGGAACCTGAAAGTCCGATGTGGCTTCCTGCAATTGGAAGCTGCGCCTTGGTTTCCAAACGTTTTGGAAGTCGAATGGACTTCCGGAACGGATTCCATTCGACTTTCAAGGTACGACTGTATATTAATGAGGAGAAGAAACTTCCAACAAAGGATGGCAAAATACCATTGCAATTGCAAAGTGTAAGTTTCAGCAAGGTTTACAAGGAACCAATATAGGCCCATTTATTATTGTATTGTTGTTGTTGTTATTAAGTTTTTCATCTAAGCAGATGAAAAACAGACAGGCTTCCAGGTAAGATTCTGTTTCCTTTTTTTTTAAAATTATATTTTTATTGGTTTACAAATACAAAAAAAAGAAAACAAAGTTGTACATTCAAACTTCTTAATTACCTCTTAATTCCATTTTTTGACTTACCTCAATTTGTCTGAACTTCCTTCATTTTATAACTTTTAACACAATCCTACTTATTGCTATTTATTCTGGTAGCTTCAATTTCATTGTTTATACTTATTATTAGATTTTCACATCACAGAGCTTCCTTAAAACTTACAAACGTAATCTGGTTATCACTTAGTTTTTGCAAATATTGAATAAACTTCTCCCAATCTTCTGAGGTAAGATTCTGTTTCCAAGGTCTTCCTCAGGTGTTAACACCTCAAAGGCCGTATCTTTGCAGTTTTCACAACTGGGAGGACTTCATCTTCCACTGCTCTGGGCTTATCCATGCGGAGGAAGGCCCAGGATTGCACTGGAAGCAAAAATGCAGGAGGTGGACTCCCCTGGGTCATTCCTGTCCTTGTGCACCATTAAGAGGCTGCCTTTCCTTGTTACCCAAATGCCTAGGCACTGCGGCTTTATCCACATGGAAAGATTTGGCAAGGCTTCTCTTACACTGTATGTAGAACAAACCTTTTGGAGCTATAATGTAAAGGGGCGGGGAAACACCCACCCACACCTGTGCTTCAGCCTTGAAAAGTTTGCAAACAAATGGTCTCATCCCGGAAAGATTTTCTGTGTCTCTGCAGGCTTTTTTAAAAAAACAAATAAATGCAAAGTTTGTAGTTTTTTTACTGAGCTTAAATCCTCCTTTTCTGGCTTTAGGAAACATAAAGCGCATTTCTTCTTCTTCTTCTTCTTTTTTTTTTTTTGCAGTATTTTATTTTTATGGGAATAACTTCTTGAGGAAAATCTGATACATCTATCCAAGTTTAGTGGCCAGTTCTTTAGCCTTGGCTTTTTCAAGCTTAGCAATGCGGGCCACTGACTTCGGCCCCAGAAGATTGCCGCCCCAGTGACGACGAATCTCATCGTATCTCTCATTGTAGTTGGTCTTGACAGCTTCCACGAGTTTAGCTAGAGCTCCCTTGTCCTCGGGATTAACCTGAGTGAAGGCAACACAGGTACAGGTCTTTCGGTGGACAAGGCGGCCCAGCCTTGCCTTGCCTTTGATGATGCAATAGGGCACTCCCATTTTTCTGCACAAGGCAGGCAGGAAAACTACCAGCTCAACGGGGTCTACATCGTGTGCGATCACCACCAGCTGCGCCTTCTTGTTCTCCACCAGAGTTGTAACGGTGTTGACACCTGCTCTGAGCACAGGAGGCCTCTTGGTAGGGACGTCGCCTTTCCCTGCAGCCTTTTGCTCTGCACGGGCCAGCAGCCTCTGCTTCTTCTCTTGCTTCGTCTCAGGCCTGTATTTGTGGGCCAATTTCAGAAGCTGAGTAGCTGTCTGGCGGTCCAATGCTTGAGTGAACTGGTTAACTGCTGGAGGCACCTTCAGCCTTTTGTAGAGGATGGCTCTTTGGCGCTGAAGTCTGATATAACGAGGCCATTTCACAAAGCGAGTCAGGTCCCGTTTGGGCTGAATGTCCTGCCCAATGCCGAAGTTCTTGGGCCTTTTCTCAAAGAGAGGATTTACAACCTTCTTGGCCTCCTGTTTCTTAACCACGGCAGGGGCCGGAGCCACCTTCTTCCCCTTGGCCTTCTTCCCCTTGGGCATCTTGGCTTCGGCTTCGAAAAGCTAAAGCGCATTTCTTCTGTGCCTGGAGCCTTCCAGATGTTTTGCACCATGATCCCCATCAGCGCCAGCCAGCATGGCTCATGGGGGATGTGGTCCAAAACATTTAGAGAGGATCTGATTGGTGAAGTCTGTTCTGAGTGACCCAGCCTTCCAGCAAACAAACAAACAAGCAAGCAAACAAACAAATGGAAACAGCATCAGCGGAAACCTTGCCTTTGTGTTTCTTCTCTGTTTCCAGTGGATTTTAAAACCCCTTTGCTTCTCCCTCCAGGATGAGGGAAGACAATGCCATGAGAGTCTATGAAAACGTTGGTCTGATGCAGCAGCAGAAAAGCTTCAGATGAGATGAAATGAGCAGCGTTCCTTGTGAGGAAGGCAAGTCCGACTCGGGTTGTGGCGGGGCATAGCAGAGGGTTGCACATTAATGGGGATCAGGTGTGTGCAGGCTGCAATCGAACTACAGTGGTGCCTCGCAAGACGAAAAGAATCCGTTCCGCGAGTCTCTTCGTCTTGCGGTTTTTTCGTCTTGCGAAGCAACCCTATTAGCGGCTTAGCGGATTAGCGCTATTAACGGCTTAGCAGGCTTAGCGGATCAGCTGATAAGCAGTTTAGCGGATCAGCTGATTAGCGGCTTAGCGGATCAGCTGTTAAGCGGCTTAGCAATCAGCTGTTTAGCGGCTTAGCGGATCAGCTGTTAAGCGGCTTAGCGGCTTGGGAAAAAGGGGGGGAAGGAAAAAAACCCTGCAGGAACTCGCAAGACATTTTCGTCTTGTGAAGCAAGCCCATAGGAAATTCATTTTGCGAAGCACCTCCAAAACGGAAAACCCTTTCGTCTAGCCGGTTTTCCGTCTTGCGAGGCATTCGTCTTGCGGGGCACCACTGTACATCCTTGCATTTCCAGATTCACTTCTCACGTGCTCCAGTGAAAAAATCTTGGGAGCAGGGCTGGGAATGACTTCCAGCTGGCACCCTTAAGACACGTTGCTAGTCTTTAGTTTCTGAGCACAATTCAAAGTGTTGGTGCTGACCTTTAAAGCCCTAAACGGCCTTGGTCCAGTATATCTGAAGGAGCGTCTCCACCCCCATCGTCCAGCCCGGACGCTGAGGTCCAGCGCCGAGGGCCTTCTGGCGGTTCCCTCACTGCGAGAAGCAAAGTTACAGGGAACCAGGCAGAGGGCCTTCTCGGTAGTGGCACCCGCCCTGTGGAACGCCCTCCCATCAGATGTCAAAGAGAACAACAACAACCAAACTTTTAGAAGACATCTGAAAGCAGCCCTGTTTAGGGATGCTTTTAATGTTTGATGTATTACTGTATTTTAATATTTGGTTGGAAGCCGCCCAGAGTGGCTGGGGAAGCCCAGCCACATGGGCTGGGTTTAAATAATAAATGATGATGATGATGATGATGATGATGAGGTGGGCCATTGATCTGGCTCAAGATGAAGCAGGTTCTCCATAGGTTAGGGTGGTAGTCCTTAAAGCTGCAAAGCTCAGACAGCTCTAGGACAGGAGTGGCCACCTAGATCAGTGTTTCCCAACCTTTTTTGGGCAAAGGCACACTTGTTTCATGAAAAAAATCTCGAGGCACACCACCATGCCAGATGGGGAAAGGTCACTTTTTACTTATGTAAAAAAAAATTAAAAAATAGTAACAGCATAGAAGGTAATGGTTAGGCTAGCATCCCTCTTCCAAATATGCTAGGTTTTTTATTTGCAGGGACTGTTCTACATGGGAAAGCATTCAGCACTGTCATTCTCCCATCTGCCATCTGAATTGGTACTATTCTGGGTCAACTTACTCTGCTGCATGTGTAGATGAAAATGGCACCAAGTGTGGGGGAGGGGGCAGAACAGGTTTCAGATACAGGATATTAAGCATACATGTACTTCAGATTGAACTGGTTGCTTGCTTTGCAAGTTTTCATTTCCCAAATGACTGCCTTGGCAAGCGCAATACCTACCAGGCTCAATGCCGGTCTCGCGCTGCCGCTTCCCGCGCTCTCAAGGACCCGGGAGGAGGAAGGCGTGAAGGGAATCCCGAAGGTGCGAAAACCTCACGCATGCGCAGGCCTTCCGCCTGCGACAGCCCAGTAGGCCGGCCGAAGCGAGCAGCGATGGGATGTGGGAGGGAGCTCGCTCGCCGCCCCGCGTGTGCCTATGTGGGGCACGTTACAGCCCCGTGACGTCAGCGCCACGCAGGCAGCCAGGCAGGCAGACGGCGAGAGCCCCGCGCTGGGCGGCCTCTCCTTGCCGCCGCCGCCCCGCCTCTCGCCGCCCGACTCGCCCGCCTCCCTCCAGGCAACATCTCGCGGCACACCAGGCAACGTCTCGCGGCACACTAGTGTGCCGCGGAACACTGGTTGGGAAACACTGACCTAGATGATGCTGGAAATATAACTTCCATCATCCATGACCTGTGGTCAGAGCTGTATAGGAGTTGCAGTCCCCAATCCCCTGTCATAGCGCCCTCTCTGTGTATTATGGAGAAAAGCATGAGGTAGTCCAGCATGTGTGCGATTCTACCTTCCCTATTCTCAGGGTAGTATCTCCTAGCTTCACAACAACTTTGTGGGGTAAGTTAGGGCGAGAGAGACTGGTCCAAGACGACACAGCATGCTTTGTTGCTGTGCAGATTTGAACCTGGGTCTGTCCATCCTCAGTCCAATACTCCATCCCCGTTTCACCCTCCTGGCTCCCAAACTTGAGTTCCAGTCAGCCACTTGGGACCCACTTCTAGTTCCTCCCCTATTGTGTGTGATTTCCCTCTGAATTGCAGAACGCAGACGAGCCTGAGCATATGTTTAAAGGCTCTTTTTTTCTTTTCTCCCTTTACAGAACTGAAATACCATTTTCTTTTCTAAGAAAGTGAAGCCAAGTGACTTGAGAAGCATCCCATGAAGAGGAGTGGACTTTGACAGCTGCATAGAGCCTCTTATTTATGGTGTTTTTAACCCTTCAGTAATAAGCGGAACTTAAGACTATCTTTCGGAGAAACTCCTAATGCCTTTTCTCAACATTGTCTGATTTCTACAGTCCCTGATTTTGTTTTGTTTCCATTCAACTTGCGGTTCTTTTGCCTCCAGTGCAGACCAATACTCTATTGTACTTGAACATTTTTTTCTCTCTCTCTCCTAGATGCTGAGGTTTTAAAGCTGTTTCCAATTAGATATATTTTTTTTTAAAGGAAAATCCGTTTCTTATACTTAAAAAAGAAATCAAGTAGCACGTCAGGTGATAAACTAATACTTTTTTGTTGTTGGAGGTGTGTGTGTGTGTGTCAGTTGTGCTAATTAGACATTTGTTCCTCCCCTTCTGCCCCCCTTACTCTTGGCCCTGCTTCTGGTGAGGAGCCAGTGACCGTTCTGGAACAGGGCACGTTGATCAGTTAATTTGTTCAAGACTGCAGTCCTCATGGTGTCTGTCTTTCTTGGAAACGACGTTGCTTCTCTAGAACTGCCAATGATGCATGGTTTGCACCAGAGAAAACTAGTTTGTTTCTTAGAGCTTGCTGGGCAACTGTTAAGATGGTTGCTGCTGAATTCTGAGTGTTTCGGTTCGGGTGGTTGGGGGGGAGACAGAGAGAGAGAGAGAGAGAGAGAGAGAGAGAGAGAGAGAGAGAGAGAGAGAGAGAGAGAAAGAAAGAAAGGGAGTGGTAGCTAAACTCTAATACTGTGGTCACAATGTTGGTGGCGTTCTGGAGTAAGCAGCCCACCCTCTTTATCCGAGGCTCGTCTGAGGAGCAATCTCCTTTACCGCCCTGCCTGTGAGCATCCCAGGAGCATTCAGCCAGCTGCTGTTAAAAGCAGGACACTGGACTAAACTGACCTCTGGTATCACCGCCCTCTCTCCTTAAGAGGGGCAAGCGGTCGGATCTTCGGCAGTTGCGTTTCCCTGAATGTTGCGTCGGCCGTGTGAAAGGGGAGCTCTTGCTTCACGTTGCCTTGTGAGGGCGGAGGAAGATCTGGGTTCCAAAATGTCTTAGCAGCGTATTCCGTTAAGCGTAGATGTTCTGTGGTTAACATTCTGCCTTTTATTTCAAAGTGCCTTTCCCCTCCTGCCTCCCAGCTCCGAAAGCATCTCTCCCCAGCTGGTGTAGTTTTTTTCTCCTGTCGGTGGAGTGGCGTTCAGCTTCTCTAAGTGGTCCTTTCGCGGCCGTCGAAGCCGTAGCCCATCCTGGAAGCAGCAGAGCACCCTTCCTTGGCCAGCCTTTGCAGGGTTTGGGGGTGGTGGTGGTGGCAGGTTCTGATCAGTGGGGTGAGGTGGGGAGGCTTTTTCCGGAGGCCTTTGGTTGGCAGCGTAAGCCAGAGATGTCCTCCAAGGGCTGCTTTTCCCTCTGAAGCTGCATGGGAGGCCGACTTGCTTAGGTCAGTGCTGGAAAAAACTAATTTTAAGGCAGCGCTGTTGGAAAATCAGCCTCTTGTTGCCTTGGCTGTGCGTACAGCATTCTTAAATACAATTAGGATTTTAAAAAAATTGTGCACCCAGAAAAACTGCATCCTGCAGTCTAAATGATGTAAATGGAGCAAACTTGCATAATTACTCTGACTTCTAATAATTGGTTCTGTAGTTTTAACTAGACCCCCCCCCCAATTTTTACTGGCATTGCTGATTACGGAGAGAGTAATGGGGCTATTAGATTCCCCTGCCCCCCACTGAGATTCTGAGATTTCAGCATGTGTAGCCTGTGCACTTGAAAGAACCTTGAGGACTAGAAACCTGTCTGGTTTTGTTTTGTTTCAAAAGAAAGCTTCTCTTGAATCCTTCTCCCCCGCCACCTTGATCAGAATCGCAGTGCGCACACAGCCATGCTCGTTGCGAGTTCCATTGATTGAATGGAAGGCCAGGAGGAGTGGAAATCTTCAACGTTTACTGTCCTTATAAAAAAACAAACATTTTTTGCCCTATCTTCTAACTTCAAATTTGGGAACTCCTGTAACCAGCTATGCCTGAAGTTTTGCATCTTACGCCTAAGTCTAGCCGGGCCACAGAGGAAGCTCCCTTTCTGCCTTCTCCTCAAATTTCACCTTAGCATTAGCAGAGACTTTGTTGTAGTTGTGGCCAAGAGTTTGGGAGAAAGGTGTGTGGCAGAGACCCCGAAATTGGACAGATGGTGCCATCTGTCGCTACGAGCAGATGGTACTGGGGTGGGGTGAGGAATTTGGTCCTGGTGGATGAAGCTCCTGGAGGTGTGAGGGTTGGACAAGGGCAATTTTCAGGAGCTGAACCCCGCTTACCCAAGCTAAGGGACAGGGCCATGCCTTACGATGGACCTGGGGCAGCGACCAAAGGCAGGGTCCCCGCTTCGTGTTCTCTTCCTTCCCTTCCTCATACGGAGTAAAAACCTCAACCTGTTTCCTGGTGTCGCAGTGCTAAGTTTCCCTGTGTGCTGTGCTTTGCTCCTCAAAAAATAAATAATTGGGTATTCCTGGCAGGGAAACCTGTAGCGACCTCAGGGCGCAGTTAAGTTTGCCTGTGTGTTATGAAGGGAGAACTAGACACGGGGACCCCAGTTTTGGCTGCCACCTCACTTTCCTGGAAGAGCCTAGTTCCATCCTGCATCAGCACCCCTGGGTTTCTTCTGATAGGTGGTTCTCAATGGGAATGGGTGAAAGCGTACCCATAAGATGGATATCTGTTTTAAAAGAGAGTGCCCTGAACGTAGTTGCTTGCCACCTTTTTAATGTGTTGTGTTGGCTCCTGAGAACTTTGACTTCAATTTCGAGGGGGGCTGAAACCCAGTTTTTTTGGGGGGGGTGACTGAAGGACTCCACAGAATCATCAGCGCTTCTTCTGGTGGACATATCCATCCCCCCCCAGAAGAACGATGCTGAATCCTTCCTTCCTTCCTTCCTTCCTTCCTTCCTTCCTTCCTTCCTTCCTTCCTTCGCACCTGCAAAGAGCTGAGTGGAGCGCTGGTGATGTCATTGAGTGCTGCCCCCCCTCTCCCAACGGTCCCTCACATTTTGCTGCCTGAAACAGTTCCTATTATTATTGTTGTTGTTTTGGAGGGCTTGTCAAATGAGAGTTTTAAAGGAACAAAATTCCACCTTGAGCATGGAGCCTCTAGGGAACATTGATGCAACCCTATCTTTCTTAAGACTGACGGGTCTGGCATCTCCTTCCAAAATGCAGTGCTCTGTGATCTCTTCTCTTCTCCTCTTCTCTTCTTTTCCCTCCCACCCCACCCTAGATGTCTATTAGACCACCGGCCGAAATATGCCATCAACCAAACAAACGTTATATGACTCTTGACATGGTGGTCATAATCTTGACATAGAGTGTTCGCCTTTTCTGTCCCAGGAGCTTTTAAAGTAGGAGGATCAATACATGCAAGGGTCGCTCCCCCCCCCATCTTTATATCTGCCCCCCTCCCCCAGCCTGAGTGAATACGGTTCAAGAAAAGCTCTGCTGTGTGATTCTTGCGACTAGGATTTGGGTCGCCTGCCTGGTTTAAGTAGGAACGTGGCATGTTGAATGTGCGGTTATTATTTTTCTCAGAGCACGTGATTACAGAATGTCATTGCTGAAACTTGAAAAAACAAACTCCAAGATGATTGTGCTGAGATGAGAACTTGAATAAGATCTTTGGGCCTTGCTGAAAACCAAAAGGAGACCTGTTCTTGTTTGTTTCTTTAAAAAGCTGTCTTAAAAATAAAGACCCTCGCTGTGAGTGCCCTTTTGCGGAAGCAAAACTTTAATGAACTTCCATAGCAATAGGGACACCCAACCCCTTTCCCAGGGATGGGACCCACAGGTAGCAGTATGTAAGGGGGTGGCTGCATAGATATTGTGTCTTAGAAGTTCTGGACGAAATTTTGTGGACTTGCAAATGGAAGGCGCATGGAGGAATCAGAACAGTTATTGAATGTATTTTAAACGATCCTTCCTAAATTGATCTCTGAAACAGCCAAAGGCTTCAAGGGTTCTAATGACTTAGTTTTAAATGTCGGGGAAGATTTCTTTTTACATATTTTGGGGGTCAGGGGAATGTCCTTTAATTCTGGAATTGTTTTGACTTTTGAAAAGTCTGCCCTCTCTTTTCTTTTAAGTGGAAAGTTGCAAAATCTGAAACGTGGAATATTTTCACTGAAAAATTGCATTTCCCTGGTCTCGCATGTCCCACCTCCTCCTATTTTGGGGGAGAGCACTCAGAACTCTCCATGGCCAGTTTTCCTGACCTTGGCTCCATGCGAGTGAAATTTAGTGACCCCTCCAGAGGCAGTGATTCCCAGACTCTTGAGGACTGTACGGTAACAGGCTAGTTACCTGCTGGCAAATCTGCTAGCTCTGTAGCAGGGGTGATTGGATCAGTCAGTTGCTGCCAAGGCAGAAAAAATTATCCATGCTCAGAGGAGGCTCTCTGTCATGTCTCTGCATGCGTTTGGCAGCACATCCAGATCAGTGACTCGTACAGAGGGGCCTGGTGCTCTTCTAAGGGCAGATAACACTTATTCTTTCACATACTCTAAGGCTTTTGGAGTTTGTGAGTGAAGAATGTCTCCTTTTTTCTTATTTAAGAGAAAAGTATTACCTCAGAGTTTGGGAAGCCCTGGCCTCTGAGGATGATCCTTGCACCCGGTGTGCCATTGCTTACTGAATGTTTGATGATAACATACTTCCATTTTTTCACTGACTCTTTAGAAGAAAGCCCCTGTCAGTCTCAACGAAATGTTTTATTCCCCCCCCCCATGAAATTTCGTGTTTAAATCGATTTTACTTTGTTATTCTGTAGTGAGAAATGATAGCTTCTGTTGTTAAAGGTATGTGGGGAGAAGATAAATGAAATAACTGGGAACTAGCTGGGCTGGAAAACTGGCAAACTAGAAATTTTGAGCAATTTGACGTATTTCTCAGCCCCAGATACTAGGATGGGGCGGAGGCTTTATATCATAATTTTGTGTTGTGTTTTTGTTCTTTTTTCCTCCAAATTTTAATCCTTAATGCCTGTCTTCTTTCTTTAATTTATGAACACCCTTGTGACTTTTTTTATATATATATATAAAAAAGCGACGCTAACGGCTCTATGAGAGAAGATCTCTGTTATACTCATCTAGGTTGAAAAATAGCTTTCCCCCTTCCTTATTCTCTTCCCCCTCTTCCAGCAATGTATGAAGTATTGTACCAGAGTATTAAATGAAATGTAATATTTTATTGAGGGGGGAGGGAAGAGAGAGAAAAAGGACCTCAGCCTTCTCCTTTAAAAGGAATGCATATGTCAACAGGTTTTATGTGAATTGTGTACATGTTCCAGATGTGCTCTGTTCTCCGACATCCAGAAGGGGCACAGCTCACAGCCAGACACTTGGCCTGGGCCACCCCCAGCCAAGCCTGCAGGTTCTCGCCGGTGTGTGGGGCTGGTCAGTTCGCCCCCCACTCTGTTTCAAAGCCCTCGTCTTCACTGCCTTCGGTGCCCATGTATCCTGTAGACCCTTTTGCAATCATGTGACATTAAAAGGCAAAAGAAGAAGAAAAAGATCACGTGTAGAAAACTTACTGATTTGTCTTGTCTGTCCCCAGCCTGTATTTATGGGTGTTGAAGTCTGGCTGCGTCGCTGGCTGAGCTGTGTTTTTGTTTTTAATTGCTCCAAGGCTTATTATCCAGAGTAAAAGCATTATTTGTAAAACAACAGAACTTAAAAAATATATATAGGAATAAAAAAAAAATCCATTTTCTTATACCTGTTTCTTGAATGCTTTTGTATCGCTAGTGCAGGGTGATGTTAGTTTGCGTCTGTGGGAATTCTGCGTTAAAACTCCCGAGAATGCAGTTAGTATAAATTAGGCAGCACTTGTGCATTCACATGGAAATACTTCTCCCATATGCAACTCTTCTTCTAATGGAGAATTTGGTGCATTTGGGCTGGGAATGTAAATAGTCAAATAGTTGAGAAAGAAGAGGTGGGGTTGGTTTCAAACCCCTTGAATGCAGGACGGATGTGATATATTGAGGAAAGGTAAGGAATGGTTTATTCCAGGCTACTTGTTCACTTTTAAGTCATGAGGACTAGAATCTTTTAAAAACTCTCTTAAAATCAAAAGATAAACGAATGCCCATTTTTAATAATAAACCTCGTCTTCACTTTCAATTTTTGACTTAATGTGGGGGCTTTGGCCAAAGATAGTTGGCCAAAAGTCTTTTACTTTTTGTACAGGGTAATATTGGGGGTTCCCCCCCCCGAATGGAAACAATCCCTCAAACAGCAAAAGTTGAGAGCTACAGACAGGGCTGCTTCTGTCCAGCGGAATCTGAAATCTCACCACAGAATGAGGATACCTGCTAGCGTCATAAAGGAAAAGAGCAAGTTTCTATGAAAGTTTCTAGCCTTCATGGCTAGGAAAATACTTCAGCAGTGCATGAGACTGAATGGGCCTTCACAGAAGTTTACTGCAACACCAGAATACAGTAAATTCGCCATACAAAAGGCTAGGGATTAGGCTGCGGCTGGTTCCACATCAGCAAATTTGGCTGACTTCAGCCTACAAATTGTACTTTTATTTTTATTTCAGCTAAAGCTGAGGGTTTACATAGCCCTCACCATCGTTTGCCAGTTTTACTGTCTGCCAGAAATGAGAAACGGCCCCGTCTGGCATGAGTACCCGATCTTCCATCTAGCGATTGCATTAGAAACTTGGCAACCTCCTTTACGCTTTCTACTGAAAGAGGCAGATTTATCTTTTGCTCCCCGGCAGGATATAACAAAGTGAGCATGACGGCAAGGAAACGTGGACACTGAAAATGTTGGTGAAGTTGTAGAGAGCTATAGGCCTCGTTTTTCCTCCCTTCCGATTTGGAAACTTGGCTAAGAAGGAGCATCTTCAACGTAACACTTGTCCCACCTGCCCAATATTTGGACCGGTTCTGGTGCGGCGCTTTTTAAATGGCTTGCAAAGTTCCACCGGGTGGTTTGAATGAGCAAGCCCTCAAGACTGAACTGGAAGAAATCCAGTATTCCCGGGAAGTGCAAACCCCACTTTGTCTAGAAACCCTCTTATTAAAACACAACACTCACTCCATCATTGGGGCTTGACTGGGAATGTTAGACCCCACAGTTTCCCGCACATCTCCAAGCATTGCCCTGAAGGCTACGAACTTGCTTTGAAGGGTGGGGGCAGAAATATGAAAAGCTAAGGTCCGGAACACCTTGTAAGATTCCGTTTTTCCTCAGCTTAAAAAAAGAGACATTTTAGAGCTGGACAAAAATGCAGAAATGGCTTATGAAATCTATACAGAGTGAGAAGAAATTTGATGAGGTGTTTCATTTCCCAGAATAATAGAATTGTAGAGTTGGAAGAGACCCCAGGGGTTATCTTGGGCGGGGGTCAGTCTAGATGAAACCATGGGTCCCTTTCAGTCCTGCTTAAAACCTAGAACAAGAGGCAGCTGAACAAGACAAACCAGTGTCTTTATTAAGCTAATGGGCCTTCACCTGGCCAGTTAAGTACAGTGGTACCTCTGGTTAAGAACTTAATTCGTTCCGGAGGTCCGTTCTTAACCTGAAACTGTACTTAACCTGAAGCACCACTTTAGCTAACGGGGCCTCCTGCTGCCGCTGCGCCGCCGGAGCACGATTTCTCATCCTGAAGCAAAGTTCTTAACCCGAGGTACTATTTCTGTAACCAGAAGTGTCTGTAACCCGAGGTACCATTGTACTGCCATTTGCCGTATCCAAAGAGTGACCTCTGTTGCCATAGAGACAAGTGGGTGGGCCTTTTCCCACCTCGCCTGGTTGAGTGCCACCTTATCCTAGGATGGAGAACAATAGGTGAGGAAAGGGGCTGTGTATGGGAGAGTAGTTTGCATCAGCTGGGCTGATGCTGATATCTGGAGAAAGATATGTCTGCCATGTGCCGGTCCCAAGAGCTGTGACTTGGGAGTTTCCCTGGAACTCCCAGAGAATCAGATGAGGTCTTAATGCTGCGAGCCTCTCCATCCTATCTTCAGCTTGTATATATGTGTAAAGAAAACCATATATCCTAAAGACAACGCAGCCCCCATTGACCTCCAGGGAAACGGAGCCTTGAGTTAGTGCTGGGGCCCCATGAGTCTCTTGCTGCACAGATTGAGGGGTTGGCGTAGCAATTTTGTCGCCTGCCGCCCCAATTTCTGGGCGGTGTGAGATTCTTTTTTTTTTATTAAATTTTTTATTAAGATTTTTTCATAAAAAATTCCAATCATCATTTTTCATCTCACATATTATGGTTTGTTGAACCTCCCTCAACTCCTCTGAAATCATCCATAGTTATTCTCTTATCTACGCATTTCCTAATTGTTGTATCGCCTTTAAATAAAATTTTTCTATCTTCATTTACTTTCTTGCAATATTCCTTAGTTTTTCACAAAGCCTCTTTGAAACACACTAGCGTTGTTCCCTCCTCACATACAGTTTTCAAATACTCTCTAAATTTTCCCCAGTCCTCCAGGAACTTATGGTCTTTCTGAAATCTGATTTTTCCAGTTAGTTTGTCCAGTTCAGCATAATCTGTTAATTTTGTTCTCCATTCTTCCAGAGTCGGTGCCTGTTCTTGTTTCCATCTTTGGGCTATCAGCGTTCTCGCTGCGGTTGTTGCATACTGAAAGAGCTTCAGATCCCTCCTGTTTATTTCCTTCCTCGTTATCCCTAGTAGGAAGGTCTCTGGTTTCTTTACAAAACTATACTTCAATATTTTCTTTATCTCATTATATATTGTTTCCCAGAACCCCTTCACTATCTTGCATTCCCACCACATGTGCATAAACGTGCCCTCTTTCTCTCTACATCTCCAACACTTATTACAGATTTTGTACATTTTTGCCTATTTAGTCGGTGTCATATACCATCTGTATACCATTTTCATGGCATTTTCTTTTAACGTAATGCATGCAGTGAATCTCAAATTTTCATTCCATATTTTATACCACTCTTCCAGCTCAATACTATTCCCCAAGTCTCTCGCCCAGTGAATCATTACCTCCTTCACCTCTTCATCCATCGTGTGCCATTCCAGTAAAATTTTGTACATTTTGGATATAATTTTACAATCATTGTTAACAATTTCTGTTTGGAACTTCGAATCCTTTTCCTTATACCCTTTTTCTTTCACCTCCTTTTTAAACATATCACATATCTGATGGTAGTGTAGCCAATCAAATACATAGTCTTTTACTTGTTCATATGGCTTTACTCTCCAGTTCTCCCCTTCTTTCATCACCAAATCTCCATATGTAATCCAGTTACTTCTCATATTAATTTTTTTGACTCCCATAGCTTCTAATGGGGATAGCCAGTGTGGTACCCCCCTTTCCAATATGTTTTTGTATCTGTCCCATACTTCGATTAGGGATTTCCGAAATATATGATTTTCAAACGATTTGTGACCCTTTTTCCTCTCTTGCCATAAGTGAGCGTGCCACCCGAATCTAATATCGAATCCCTCTAAGTCCAGTAATTTTGTATTTTTAAGTTTTATCCATTCTCTTAGCCAGCAAAGGCATGATGCCTCATAGTATATTTTCAGGTCTGGCAGGGCAAATCCTCCTCTTTCTTTTGCTTCTGTTAACAACTTATATTTAATTCTTGGTTTTTTGCCCTGCCAGACATATCTCGAAATCACCCTTTGCCATTCCTTAAAGATTTTTACTCCTCTTAGTACTGGGATCATCTGAAATAAAAATAGCATCCGAGGTAGCACGTTCATCTTAACCATTGCTATTCTGCCCCAAAAGGATAGTTTTAGCCTTCCCCATCCTTCCAGATCTTTCTTAATTCTATTCCATATCGGGACGTAATTATTCTGGAACAGGTCAATGTTTTTCGGTGTGAGATTCTAGGGGTTCCAGACGTCTGTGTTTCCTCTTGAAAGTCAGGCACAGCGGAGACTCGGGGGTCTTTATGATATATGGCTTATTTACGCATCTATACAACCTGAGCCTGGGGACACGGGTGGCGCTGTGGGTTAAACCACTGAGCCTAGGACTTGCCGATCAGAAGGTCGGCGTTTCGAATCCCCGCGACGGGGTGAGCTCCCATTGCTCAGTCCCTGCTCCTGCCAACCTAGCAGTTCGAAAGCACGTCAAAGTACAAGTAGATAAATAGGTACCGCTCCGGCGGGAAGGTAAACGGTGTTTCCGTGTGCTGCTCTGGTTCGCCAGAAGCGGCTTAGTCCTGCTGGCCACATGACCCGGAAGCTGTATGCCGGCTCCCTCGGCCAATAAAGCGAGATGAGCGCCGCAACCCCAGAGTCGGCCACGACTGGACCTAATGGTCGGGGGTCCCTTTACTTTAGTTTTACAACCTGAGCCTATGATAAAGGGGCTCACAGCATCAACACGTGAAAGGGTCCTGTTTCTCCCATAACCGCAGCCTTGGATTCAAACCATCACGCTCTGACCAACTCTCCAGCTTGCTGCCTTTGCTGGCCTGCAACCTTTCCCCCTCTTTTCTCCCCCCACCCCTGTTTTTTCTGCAGCCAGCTCTAAAACTGTGCTTCAAATTCTGTTTTCTAACTAACTGTGAGTTGAGGAGGGGCCCCACTCATTTGCCCTCTGGCACAGAGCCCCCTCTCCTTAGCTTTCTTAATGGACCATCACTGCCCTTTGTTTTCTGAATGGCTCACCTTTCAGGCGATTCCCTCATGAAGAAGCTAGCCTGGCTTATATTTTAACCCTTGATGGATCCAGGGGTTTAGGAGGCCTGAAT